ATCGAACCCCCGCTGGACATGATGATTCTGGGGCTACAAAAAGTTGCGGTGCGATCGGAGACGAAGCAAGCGCGCCCCTTGACAAAGGAAGAGATGGATCAAGTAATCCGCAGCCGGACCGATTGGAAGGAACGCGTTGTCTTACGACTCGCGTGGATAACGGCGAGTCGTTGGTCCGAGATCGCGGCCTTGACAGCCAAAAATTTCACAATGGAGGCGGACGGGGCCTTAATTTTGGATTGGTCCGTCGCGCCGAAGACGGCGAGAGCGGATCCCCACCGCGCCTCGCGGTTTGTGAAGATACGAGGGCAGGACGCCTTCGACAATATAAAGCTATGCAGGACACTTCAAGAAAACGAAAAGCTCACGAATATTACTAATGCCCAAGTCGAACGAGCTCTGGCTCCTTGGGATGCCACGGCGCATTCCATAGAACGGGGAGCGTTGAGACACGCCGCTCAAACCGTGGAGACATACAATTTGAATTCACACGTGATCTAGCAGTTGGCGAAGCACGTCGACCCGTTCGACCTTCCCCAGAACACGGTTCGATATTTGGGGAGATACACCACAATGCTGACCCAGGTGTCGTCGCTGGTCGCATTGATGTGAAGGGAGAAACGGCGGAAGGGCAAGAACCCTGGCTAAGAGCAGAGGAGCGTTTTTTCCATGATTTTAATCACAATCATGCCGCTACAATAACGAGACGCGCCACAAGGACGCGTCTGGCCACTCCACACGACGAACACGCTATCCCGTTACAGCAAGTCAACGTGCCCGTATTGAATCTGGAGTGGATTAAAAGTCGGTTGAAACCGGCCACCTTGGAGAGGCTCATGCAAGTGTGGGGACTCGTGGGGCGGTCCCCTTTCCCTCCGTCTTCCTCCGGTAAAGCGCGCGAAGGCTCACGGAGAATTCCAACCGCTGACGCGAGATTGTTAAGAAAAGCAGGAATAATCGAGGACGCTTCGTCCACAATAACAGGCGGATGGATAATACCCTTTCTCGGTTGTGGAGGAGAAAACCACCGGTTTGAGACGACGATGGATCGCGTGGCCACGCGGCAAGAGCAGAGACGACCCTTATGAGGCTAATGTTCCTCTTTTACATATTTCCCATTATTTGCCGCCTGTGATGGCTGAGGCCGCTTCCTGCCTGGACTTAAAGGCATCCTTTTTTCAAGTCCCTTCACCGCGGGAGACGCGGCATCTCTTTCGATGCCGCGTGGAGGACGGCACGCTGGTGGAGCTGACACGGCCGCCAATGGGATACAAGGCCGGCCCAGAAATTCTCCAGATTATTACCTCAGCAATTGCGGTGGTGACGACGGTGGTTCACCGCCTCTGGGCCGCACCTCCATCGGTGCGTGTCGGCGTTTGGATCGATAATATACGCATTGCAGGGTCGAAAAGCGACGCGACATTGTGGGAGGCCCAAGTGCTTCGTAATGCGGACAGTAGTAATGCCACGATAGGGAAGAACGGGAATCGGGCGCTACGCATTACACCTTTCTGGGGTGCAATTTGATCACACTCACCGGGCGGTATCCCTGAGTGAAAGGTTTGTCCGGTCTGTACGCGCCATGCCGGCGCTCAATTCTTCAACCATCGCGGGAATGGAGGTTGTGGCGTCACGCTTTTTGTACGCGGCGGCCATTTTGGGCACGCGTTTATGCGACCACCACTTTTCCATCAAGGCAGTGCGACGACGATTATCGGCATTTCACCAAGGGATTGTGGAGAAGACATCCCCGGCGAACCTTCCGTCGGCAGCGGTTGGTTTGGGCGAGAGATTGCGACACACCATCGAGAACAATCGCAAGCGAATCATCAAGTCCACCGAGAAAGCATCGGCCGCCATCATCACGGACGCATCGCTCCATGGATGGGGCGCCGTTTTTATTCCAGACTCCGGCGACGTTAAAATTGCCGGGGGAAGTGGGAGAAGAAACCTTTTCTTATCATGCAGGCCGAGGCACGAGCGGTCCGCTTAGCCTTATCGGCCTTTTCCGCCATCTTGCCATCCACCATGGGCGTTTGGGTGGACAACACTTCGCAGCAAGGAGCGGCGAATAAAGGCAGCTCGGAATCGCACGCCATGACATGGGGGCTGCGACGGATATATGAGTTTTTGGACTCTCGCGGAATACAGGCAACTTTTGCCTACGTGCGGTCTGCAGAAAACCCCGCAGACGGCATATCACGCGGTCGTGTTTTTACACTTCAGGACTTGGCGAAGGGGTGGAACTTGCGAAGGGGAGCGGCGGGGTCTTGTGGTTGGAGGACCCCAAAGTCTGCCACTTCGTAAGTAATAATATTTCAATCCTAACTGAGGACAAAGGACCATGCTGGTGGTCCACAGAATTCTATATATTGAATGAGAATAAAACATTGAAGCAATTAACTAAAGAACCTTTTTTCCTAACTTGTTTGGTTTCCATAGATACTTTCAGGGTCCG